TCTGCTCTAATTTTTACTATTTCTCTTCTTCTACTGGGTTTAGGGCGTTCTTGTTGCTCTGCCTCTAGCTCCTTTAGGTGAGCTGTTAGATTTTGGACTTGTGCTTTTTCTAATCTCTTGAAATAGGCCTGGAGAGCAATGTACTTTCCTCTTAGGACTGCCTTGGCCGCATCCCATAGATTTTGAATTGTTGTGTTTTCATTTTCATTTGTTTCCATATATTTTTTAATTTCCTCTCTAATTGCCTGATTGGCCCATTCATTCTTTAGAAGGGTGTTCTTTAACCTCCATGTTTTTGGCGGTTTTCCAGACTTCTTCCTGTAATTGATTTCAAGTTTCAAAGCATTGTGATCTGACAGTGTGCATGGTATGATCTCTATTCTTTTATATTTATTGAGGGCTGCTTTATGTCCCAGTATGTGATCTATCTTGGAGAATGTGCCATGCGCACTTGAGAAGAAAGTAAATTCCCTGGCCTCAGGATGTAAAGTTCTAAATATATCCGTCAGATCCATCTGGTCCAATGTGTCTTTCAAGTCCATTATTTCTTTAGTGATTTTCTGTCTGGTTGACCTATCCATTGCTGTAAGCGGAGTATTAAAGTCCCCTGCTATTAGCACATTCTTATCTATAAGCTTGTTTCTGTTTGTGATTAATTGTTTTAGATATTTAGGTGCTCCCATATTCGGTGCGTAGACATTTATGATTGTTAGTTCTTCCTGATGGATGGACCCTGTAATTATTATGTAGTGCCCTTCTTCATCTCTTGTGATTGTCTTTAATTTAAAGTCCAGTTTGTCTGATATAAGTATCGCTACTCCGGCTTTCTTTTGATTTCCTGTAGCATGATATATATTTCTCCATCCCCTTACTTTTAATCTGAAGGTATCTTCCCGTCTAAAATGAGTTTCTTGTAGACAGCATATTGATGGATTTTGTTTTTTAATCCATTCTGCTACCCTATGTCTTTTGATTGGAGCATTCAGCCCATTTACATTCAGTGTTATTATTGAAATATGTGGGTTTAGAGTCTTTGTATCTTTTGTAGGGTTCATGTTTGTGGTGGTGTCTCTGGTATCTTTGTTCCTTGCAACCTTTCCTTCAGAGCATCCCCCTCAGGATTTCTTGTAGGGCTGGCTTCGTGGTGACAAATTCTTTCAATTTCTGTTTATTTGGAAAGGTTTTTATCTCTCCTTCTATTTTGAATGACAGGCTTGCTGGATAGAGGATTCTTGGCTGCATATTTTTACTGTTCATCACATTGAAGATTTCCTGCCATTCCTTTCTAGCCTGCCAAGTTTCAGTAGATAGGTCTGTCACCACTCTGATAGGTTTCCCTTTGTATGTTAGGGCCCTTTTCTCCCTAGCTGCTTTCAAAATTCTCTCTTTGTCCTTGTATTTGGCCATTTTTACTATGATATGTCGTGCAGAAGATCGATTCAAGTTACGTCTGAGGGGAGTCCTCTGAGCCTCTTGTATTTCCACATTTACTTCCTTCCCCAGGTCGGGGAAGTTCTCTGCTATAATTTGTTCCAGGACTCCTTCAGCACCTTTCCCTCTCTCTTCCTCTTCTGGGATTCCTATGATACGGATATTGTTGCGTTTGACCGTATCGCTGAGCTCTCGAATTCTTCTTTCCTGTTCCTGGATCAGTTTGTCTCTTTTTTTGTCAGCTTCTTGTTTTTCTATAATGGTGTCTTCTAAATCACTTATTCTCCTTTCTGCCTCTTCAATCCGTGCATTGGAGGCCTCTAATTTATTATGGATCTCATTTATCGCATTTTTTAATTCTTCATGCCTATTTTTATTTTCCATTCTGTCTGTAGCCATAGTTTCTTTGATGTCCCCTATGTTTTTTTCAAGCCCTGCTATTAATTTTACCATTATTATTCTAAAATCTTGTTCAGTGATGCTGCTGATATCTGTTTTGAGCAGTTCATTAGCTGTCATTTCTTCTTGGAGTTTCTTTGGAGGAGAGGTCTTTCGTTTCGTCATTTTAGTTGGCTTTCCGGCTCTTGTTGGTTTTAGAGACCTGTTATGCTCTCTGTTTCTATGAGCGCTGCTATATCCAAGAAGACTCTTTGACTTTCCAGGGCCTATCCTTTCTGCTCACTCATTTTCTGCTGTTCCCCATCTTTATTCTTCATTCATGCCATCTCATCTAGCTAAATGCCCCACTAGCCACTTTCTCTAAGTTTTACTATTAACATTTCTGAATAAGAACAACATTTTCATGCTCCTATTTATACCACTGTGCTCTGTACATAATATTATAATTATTTGCTAATTTTTTTTTCTCTCCCTTTCAACTTAGAGTTCCCAGGAGATACAGAAGATAAGAAAACAAGGCAATGAATAATTAAAACAGCATGTGCTGTGAAAATGCTATGATAAGTATAATTTTTGTCCATATGTTATAGGTGTTGCCATGAAAAGTCAGAGAATAAGCATGGTTCTACACAGAGAACCACCAGTAAAAGCACCTTAGAGAAGAAAACTGAAATGAATTTTGAATAGTGAGTTAGAATTATCTAGCCAAATCTTGGAGACTGAATGAGTAGTTGGTAAAGAAAAGACAGGAGAAGAGAGAACCTGGCCACTAGTGAGAATCACTAGCAAACCCACATGGCTGAAACAGAGTGTCATAGGGCTGCCAAACAATAAATCTGGGTCAGGAGGCTAGGGTTACATGTGGAAGGGTCCTGTGTGTCATGTAGAAATTTGGATTTTATCCTGGAAAGGCCCAGGATAAAAAAAATGGTCCTTTTGATTTTCTATTTCCTGTCACAGAAACCATTCACCACCAAGTTACTCCTATTATCAACCCCCAAATCCTAAATCACAGACTTATTCTGTGGTAGCTATATTCTCTGAGGTCTCCTTTGAATTAATGAACTGCTTTCTGATGTCACAGGAAGACAAGCTTAGGAGAAAGAAACACCAAAGGATGGAAACAGTCACTGTCCCGAGCCCCCACTCTGCCTTTGTGTTTGGAACTTTAAAAATGCAAGCATCAAAACAACTCTTCAAGTCATAGGAATGCTAGGAAGGTTAAGGATTGAGACCACACAGCTAGTAAGTGGTAGCTCTAACCCCATATGGTCTGACTCTAAAGATTGCACTCTTGCTGTTTGTGACATGGACCCCTAGCATGAATCAAAGAACATTAGGAAATTGCAGCAACATAGAATACATCTTAGCTATGAAAGATAACAAGACCATTAATGGTGGCTGGATGTGAAAACATGCATGTGATAAGTTGAATCAAAGAGAACACACACTGATTAAAACTATAACACAATGGACAACATTATGATTAAATAGACATTGATGACAGAAGAACCTTTATATACATTGTTGAAAGTACAATGGTTTAAAAAATAGAATAAATCTTCTATAGCCAATATTCACATTGACCCTAGAGCTCCACACCTCTTGAGGCTTTCAACCCTTCTCAGACGCAACTTTGACTGACACCATTGAAAAGACCACTATGATCACATAAATTTCCTTTATAATGTAAAAAATTATAAAAGAAAGAGTAAGCTGTCTTTCTAGGGAATAAAAACATTTAATAAGAAAAACTGAGAACACTGAGATATGTTATTTATCCTTTCTTATTTTTAGAAAACATATTTCATAAGATACATAATAAGATCATTTTCTGGGTTTTGCCTAGAGCTGACTGGCATATGCATATCCTTTGGGATTTGTTTTTTTTTTTTTTTTTCCTTTAGAAATCAATCTTTTGCACCATGAAATGAACTTTGGAAGAAGGGGTTTGTAAGATAAATGGTATTGGTTGAGTTCTAATATTTACTATACAGATGATTTTCATCCTACATATATTTTTATGATCTTCATAGAGTGAATAGAAAACCTACCTCTACATTTCATATTTTTACAAAATTCCTTAGAAATCCACTATTGAAAAGTTTAAGTAAATATACGTGTAGAGATTTACACTCAGTTTTAGATTTCAAAGAGTTCTGTTTTGTGGTTGTTTTATATTTTATTAAACTGTCTACCAGATCCTTATTATTTTCCTTTTTTCTGGATTAAAGTAAAAGTGGCAAAAAATGAAATCTCCCTCTATCACTTGGAATTCACATAACAGGATACTGAGCATTACTTTTTGATGATTGGAGGCTACAGAGTTAATAGCTAAAAAGCAGTGACCTGAAATCAGTAATCATCATCAGGAATGTAGATTGGGAGATTAAACATGGGAGATCATAGGACTATGGCTCCATCTAACAAATCAAATGGAAAAAAAGAAAAGGAAAAGAATAGAAAGTTCAGCTATGAATATAGTTTTCCACACTGAGATATTAAAGGAAGTCTTTTTCCCACGTCTAGTGGCTTGTCAGTTCAATTCATTCTTCAATACTTTTTGAAGATTCATTCATAAGCAGGTCACAATAAATATAAACCCCACAATGTCACACATTTCATTTTGTATCCCTGGTACTTCTAAATTCCCATTATTTAGTAAATGGTAGACAAGTATTTGTGAAAAATAGAAATGAATGAGTGAATAATAAATAGTAAGAAATCCAGATATAATTCCATAAAATATGAAGTGCAATAAGATTTTCATACTTATTTTGGAGCACATATTGACTGCTGTTTAAAAAACTTCTTCCTATTTTATTTTAATGGGTATTTAAGATAATAGAACTATTGATAAATATTTTAACTTAATATACCAGAAAATCTTTACAAAGCTAAATCTGTCTAATATATATTACTGGTAGAGCCTTTTTTGATTCACATTGATAGATTACTGAAATGAGTATGGAAAAATGAATTGTTATATTTTATTATCCATAGTCATTAATATGTGCATAACTAATTATTATACATAAGTCCACTAAGACATCCCTGGTGTTAAATGCATTTGCATTTGGAATGTTTACTATAAAAATGTAGACTTCAATTTCTTTACATTTTTTCTCAAAAACTGATTCTAGATTTTCATAAGTAGCTATTAGACATACATGCCATTCCACATTGTCATCTTCTTTCCCAAGACTTAGTAACTTGGTGAGTGGATTTCCAGGAAGGCCAGCGTCACTCTCGGGAGATGGGTGCCCATGCTGTACCAGAGGCGCACTGCTTGGTGTTGGAGGTTGTGACCGTTTAAGAGTCTGGTTGACAATTTGGTAGTCAAGGGTCATGAAGGGTTTTACTTGTCTCTGCACTTTCTGTAGCTGGGACTTCGAAGGACCTTCCAGGTGTGCTGACACCTACAAAATAGAAATGGATAAAGGCAACGTGGAGGAACATCTGGTGACTCCGAGCTCCACCTTCAACAACTGAATTATGACAACAGACTCATGACAATGTCTGCTGCTCTCAAATTTATGGTTCATGCTTCTGTCATAGTTTACATAAGATGCTAGAAGATAACAGTTTTTAAGAAATAATTTAAAAAACTTACTAAATTTTTTAAGTATATTTTAAGAATAACCCTCAAAATAATACGCAGCTGAACTAAAATTTGGAATAATACATAAAGCAAAATACTTTTTGAGGTTCCAGAAAAGAAAGCCTAAAATAAAACAAGGAAACTATAGCTGATTCACTATTATTAGTAATTTTCATATAATATGTATTTCTTGGATTTTTTTACATACAAATATTCTATTGGACATAATCACAACTATTTTTTTATAATATATATATATTTTTAAGTGTATTTATTTATTTTGAGAAAGAGAGAAATAGAGTAAGTGGAGAAGGGGCAGAGAGAGAGAGAGAGGTAGAGAGAGAAAATCCCAAGCAGATTCTGCACTGCTGGGACCGGGGCTTGAACTCACAAGCTGTGAGATCATGGCCTGAGCCAAAGTCAGACCCTAAACTGACTGAGCCACCCCGGTGCCTCATTATTAAGTATTTTAAAAAATTATCCGTGATGGGGCAGAAACTAGAAGTATATACATTAAATATTAAATGTGATCCTCGGGGCACCTGGGTGGCTCAGCCAGTTAAGTGTCTGACTTTGGCTCAGGTCATGATCTCACAGTTTATGAGTTTGAGCTCCACATTGGGCTCTGTGCTGACAGCTCAGAGCCTGGAGCCTCCTTCAGATTCTGTGTCTCCCCCTCTCTCTGCTCCTCCCATGCTCATGCTCTGTCTCTCTCTGTTTCTCAATAATAAAAACATTTAAAAAATTAAAAATGAATAAATAAAGATCTGTGCTAAACTTATTTTTATTTTTAAATATCTTATGTTTAGGGTCATCTGTTTTGATCTTGATCTTGGGGTCATGAGTTTGAGCCCCATGTTGGGTATAGAGTTACATAAATAAATACATAAATAAATAAAAATAATCTTATTTTTAAACCTTTTCATATTCTCAATAATAATTTTGTAGAGTGTTATGAATTGAAGGAATCATTCACAGAAAACTTTAACCAGGGTCATGTGCCAACTAAACAACTATGCAGTATTTTGAAATCTCTTTTCAAAACACAGCCTTAAAATTGTGTTATTTATCAGAGTTAACGGTATAACATTAATTGCACAAGGGCGATTGTAAGCATTTCAAGCTTTTCCTTTAAAAGACTCTGAAAGTAGTATTGCCTGCCAGTCCTCTTTATATTTACTATGCTGTTATGTGACTTCTAATACATTTTCCTCAAGTGGCCTATATATAAACCTATTTAATATTTCCCTCATGTTAAACAATAGTAAAGATTGCTGTACAGTGCTTATTTTTCCTTTTATTTCAGCTACACAAACTACTCCTTAAATCCCTTAACATGCATTAGCCCAGATAAATAGCCTTTACAAAGTATTTTGCATTTAAATTAGCTGGTTTGGGGTACAATATTGTAGTAGTTACTTTAGTTTAATTCTGTTATGCTGACATTTTTAGCATTATTTTAATTGTACCTCCATAAAATAATTTTTCAGTCATATAAAAAAGATTAAGATTGGTAATAAAGATTACACATATTACTAATTATATTGCTATGAGCTTTAAAGTTGTAAAATAACATTTCATTAAAATGCCAGTGGTAACTTTTTTAGGGTAGCTACTTAGGTTACTTTACCGTTTTAGTTAATCCTTCTTAATCTGCATATACACACAAAATATACATTATAAATACCATCTTCAGATTTACAAATCATACAATGTGGCAGAAAACTAAAGAACATTGTATACCTACAAATGAAAAATACCTCTTGTTCTAAGAAAAGTGTGTTGAATTAGAATTTACAACCTTCATTAACTAGTTCATTTTTCACTTTGCATCCATTGACTCTAAAGCCTTCATTAGAGTACTTATTGCATTTGGTGTTACATTAAGAATACAAGAGAAGTAGTAAATGTGACCCCAGGGCTCTACAAGCTTATGATCTAGTTGGGTAGTGTTAATATCCAACTACAGTAAAAACAATAATAATAATAACAATAATAATATGCAACAGGTACCAGGCACCATGCCAAGCTATTTACATTCATTATTTTGTTTAATCTTTGTTACAGCCTTTAAAGGGAAGTATCATTAGTATCCTCACTGCACTATGTAGATGAAGCCACTGAGACAGGGAGATTTAATAACATGCCTCCTATCACTCCACTAATAACTAATAAGGGATGGAGCTGGAATAAGGAACATGCCTTCTTTTTTTTTTTTTAATGTTTTATTTATTTCTAGGAGAGAGAGACAGCGTGAGCAGGGGAGGGTCAGAGAGAGAGGGAGTCACAGACTGAAACAGGCTCCAGGCTCCGAGCTGGCAGTCAGCACAGAGCCCAACGCGGGGCTCGAACCCACAAACCGCGAGATCATGACCTAAGCGAAAGTCGGAAAGTCGGACGCTTAACCGACTAAGCCACCCAGGCGCCCCGGAACATGCCTTCTTAAACATTATGCAATCTTGGCTCTGGAAGTGACTGAAGTGCAAAGGCAAAGCTCAGTGCTGTATACAATGAATTAAACATGCCACAAAAAGCAGTGATTTTTTAAAATAAATTATAAGAGAAGGCGGTTATAAATCAGGTGTTGGAAGAAAATGGCCCCATACATGGGGCAAAGGGAAGGAAATTTCAAATACAAAAGATCAAAGCAAACAAGAAAGACGACAAGTTGGGAGATGGTCACAAATATTAGTTGTGAAGAACTCACATGAGTATGTTTCCTTTCTCAAAGCAAGACTACCATCCCCTCTTTAGGCCAGTCTATACAGATACAGAGTAAAATATAAAATGGGGTCAATTCCAATTCTGCCTAAATTATTGTGTGGTTATTGTTTGTTTGTTTATAGAGAATTGCTAACAATAGGTTAGCAGGCAAAAGTGAAGACTGTCTGGGACCCTATCTATAGAACATCTGTAGGGTAAACATAAGGGACTTAAAGTTTAGTGGAGCAGAGGAAGATAACAATGGAATGTGAAAAAACTACTCCCCACAAAATCTCCATCTTCTTTGATCATGAACAGATATCAGGACAATGAGACAGTAAATGTAAAGCAGCAACTAAACCATAGGCAGCCTATTTTAAAATACTTTTAAATTGCTTGGCATCTGAAGACATAACCATACAGCTAATGGGTTTCTTTACTGAAGGCCCCAGTATTTTGTGAGATAAAGTAGATGAAATGATAGTTTGCCATTGTTCATTTATCCACGTATTTAAGATATATTTTTTGAGTGCCAAATGCATATGCACTGAGTGGTACACTGAAGATAGAAGAGAACTAACTACAGTGTCTACCTACATAGAGTTGTGGTCTAGTCCAAGTTTAAAAAGATATGAAGAGAGGGGCTCCTAGGTGGCTCAGTCGGTTAAGAGTCTGACTTCAGCTTAGGTCATGATCTCATGGTCTGTGGGTTCGAGCCCTGTCTTGAGCTCTGTGCTGACAGCTCAGAGCCTGAAGCCTGCTTCAGATTCTGTGTCTCCCTCTCTTTCTGTCCCTCTCCCACTCACACTCTGTCCCTTTCTCTCTCTCAAAAAGAAATAAACATTAAAAGTTTTTAATAAAAAAGAAAGCTATGAGGAGGAAGAAAAGAAAAATATGAGGTATCTAAGGGCATGGACTGTGTTTACCTTGCTGGCTGCTTTACAGCCATTCATTCTGTACATAACCCAGAGAATGGCACACAGCAGGTGATCAAAATTGTGTTCACATATGTTCAATGAATGAATGAATGAATGAATGAGTCATTAAAGTACAGTGTTTGAATAACTTTGGTACCATGGAGAGCTTTGGGAATCTACTAAAAGAGCTGGTAAACCATGACCATAATATCAAAGTCTTCACCTAGAAAGCTGGAACAGCTATAGACTGTGATTTGGCTCACTGAACTGTCAAAGAGTTTGAACTATCGAAATGTAAGGAAATTTTGCTTATGAAAACAATAAGTAAAACATATTGCAAGAACTCTGTACTATGCTTGAACGTTATCACTCTGACATACCACTATTGCAAACTAAACATAATGATGGTCAGGTTAAGTCCAAGCTCTGTCTGTATGCTGAAATCTGCTTTATTTCACTTAAACGAATGTATATACTTATAGTCTCCTTATTTTCTAAACCCTTATAAATAAATATAAAGTATGAATGTGGTAAGAGAGTCTTATACCAGGAAATGTAGGCTGAAGATTAATATTTCAATTGAGTACAAAAATTTATCCATGAGCATTCTGGCAGCCAAGGAAAAAAGGAAAATTTAATATATGTATATATTAATTATATACATTATGAATATATAATATATATTATATAAAAGGTAGAACCTTGTGATATTGCAGACATTTGAGCATTTTTGGTCTGTAAAGTGTTTGTTCCATATGGGTCAACCTCATATATATTTCTCATTATGTAATTAAATCATACCAGTTCTGAGGAGAGACAAATATTTTTTTGAACAATACCTGAGAATTTATAAACTGGATATTCCAATGGAGGACCTAAACAAAATATCGAACAAAATTCCAGTAAGTTTTAAAATATGCAATGAAATTCTTCATATTCCCATATTAAAAAAAAAAAAAAAGAATTGTCTTAATTTGGGTTGCCCAGGAAATACAGTATGAAACTTGGCTAAAGGAGTCTTCTTGGGGGCGGGTGTGTGTGTGTGTGTGTGTGTGTGTGTGTGTGGTGATTTCAGAACCTGAGCCACACTAGGGTGAGAAAAGCAGGATCAGGCACAGGAAAGAGTGGCTCAGTTGCGGCTGATCATGTAGCCAATGCACTGTCACATCCACTATGTTTATTTTGGATCAAAGGCCCA